GCTCACCTCCCTTTCCCCGGCTCCTGTGTCGGGGCAGGATCCCTGACAAAGACTAATCTATGTAAAAAATTTAATATGATGTTAATAGATAAAATGGCATGGCATTTGTGGTAGGTTTTTTTAAGAAGATTTATTTTTATTTTATGTATATTAATGTTTTTCCTGCGTGTATGTAAGTATACCACATGTGAGCCTGGTGCCCATGGAGACCAGGAGATGGCACAGAATCCCCTGGAGCTGGAATAAAGGACAGGTGTTAACTGCCATGTGGATGCTAAGAACCAAACCCAGGTCCTCTACAAGAGCAGTCAGTGCTCTTAACTGCTGAGCCATCTCTCCAGCCCCAGAGTTTATTTATTTTAATCTATGCTTGGCATTAGACTGGAGTCTATTATTCTAATAATCAGAATTCATTAAAGTAAAATGTACTGCAATAGAAAAAATGCATGTGTACAACGAAGAAGGTGAAGGCCATCCTCAAATGACTAGGTGCAATCACAAATGAGCTATGGAGAAAATGAAAGACTTCAGGATGAGACATGCCCTCTCAGAAAATCCCTGATCAGATGTGAACCTGAGAAGAGTAAGACTTGATTCATGAGCCGGGTCAGTAACATCTTGGGAGTATGTAACCAACAGAAACAGAGATAACCTTACATAACTATTCGGTGTAAGCAGCTTGCAGTTGTTGACCTAGATACAGGGTTCTCCCTCAGAGTTTCGTATCACATAGTCACACAAAACTGCCCTGTATTTTGGTCTAGAATGCCTAAGTTGTTCTGAATGTACCCTATGGACAGAGTTAAAGTTGAATTAATAAATAATAAGAATAAATAAAAATTACGAATGTAAATGGAAAAAAGAAGCTAGAAAAAAATTCCAACCTATCTTGCCAAAGACTGAGGGACTTTACCAGGCCATTCTATTTATAAAAAATCTTGAGTGTCAGGGGAAAGAGCAAGCATGTACATGTGTGAGCATAACAAAATATCTAACTGTAGAACTGGAAAGACTTGAGAATCATGTGTTCCACAGATAAAGAGCTGAGGTATATAAGAGCAAAAATGCTCACACACAAAAAAATGGATAAAATATCAGAACTTAAAGCTGAGACTCTGGCCTTCCCAGGTGTGTTTTCTTTCATTGTAACTGTTCATTCAGATGTCTCTACAACTTTATGTATGCAGACAATGAAAGGATCCTAGCAAAAAAATTAAAGCCCATAGACTGTATAGTCCATGCTCCTGGAGTTAGCATTTTCCATGGGTCCACCAGACCCAGATGACCACAAAGAAGAAGGAGAAAGGCCTGGAGAGATGGCTCAGAGGTTGAGATCTAGCACAACTCTTCCAAAGGATCTGAGTTCAGTTCCCAGCACCCATGTCAGGTGGCTCACAACCCCCAGCTCCAGGGTATCCAACAACTCTGGCCTCCACATGAACCTACACACATACACACACACACACACACACACACACACACACCTAACTAAAAATAATTTTTTAAAAAGAGGAGGGAGAGAGATAAGCTGTTTATAATACTTAAATGTCTTATATGAGATAGGGAAACTGTACAGAAAGAAGAGTTACTTTCTTTCCTCTCTCTTTTTCTGGTATCTAAAATGATATGTATATGAGGCCATTTGTTCAATACCAGGTTTTCTTTTTCAAAATGGAGTTATAGTGCTTACAACGATACCATATCTGAAATTCACTTTTTTTCATATTTGTTTTCTAGAACTATTTTTAAAGTTATGTTAAAGCAATCTATGTTTCTGGATGAATCATGCATGTTTTCAAAACATTCTAGATCAGATGGCTTAAGCCATCTAGTTTATGCTGAGCAGACTGTGTTTCATCAGACAAAGCCTATGATTTGATACATATTAGGAAAGCAGTTGAATATTCAATGCAAAAGGAGTCCTCAAGGAGCTGGAGAAATGGCTTAGCAGTTATGAGAGTGTAATGCTCTTTCAAGGACCCAAGTTCAACTCCCAGCACCCATATCAGATGGTTCACATATCCAGGGGATCTGATGTCCTCTTCTGGCCTCCAAAAGAACCAGCATACACATGCACCAACACACATATACACATAATTGAAAATAAAACATTTCATAAGCTACTGAAAATACATATGATATATATATATATATATATATATGATTGCATGTGTGTACATGAAGGCTATATAACAAAAATCACAGTGCCAGGCAATGGAAACTCCCTTCCAGTTGTTGGCCAGGGTAGTCCAAGAGCCTCCCAAAATAATATTGAAACAGCCCTTGGTTGCCTCCCAGAACTTAAAGATAAGACCTTATTGCTGAAGACACAACATATTTTGGACACTAGACTTGAAGAACCCACTGGAAGACTAGCTCTCATAGTATCAGAAGGTACTATGTAAGCTGCCAAGGGAGAAAACCAATCAATGGTTCTTCCCAGCTGCAAAACCTAGAAACCACAACATTGACAGGCTCAGTAAATTGTCTCTATTGGTACAATAGTGGCACTTTTATCTTTGGGATAATCAACTGCTATCTAATGAACTTAAGGCCCTCTCAAGGAGTGGGAATCCATGCATAGTAAACATAGCCAAGAACACATGATTGGAGAGGTCCTAGGCACTAGACGAACCTACCATTGCCACTTTCCTAGACCAGTGTAATATCTTACTATATTCCAGTCTCCTTAAATTGTTAACTCTTTTCCTACAGTTGTCACTTCTCATAAAGAGATTTGGCTTAAGAGAAAATCTAAGCCAGGTGTGGTGGTGCACACTTAATTTAGTCCCCACACTTGGGAGGCAGAGGTGGATGGATCTCTGTGAGATCAAGGCCAGCCTGTCCTCCATAGCAAGTTCCAGGCCAGCTGGGGCTACAGGGGGACCCTGTCTCAAAAAGGAGAGAGAGAGAGAGAGAGAGAGAGAGAGAGAGAGAGAGAATGAATCGAGCTACTGCCACTAACTGAACAATAAGCCCAGTTAGTCAGTGTTCACCAGCATTAGCTGGCAACCATGGCCATGTTCTGGCCACACAAAAGGGAATGGGAACATCATGGTATCAGGGTTTTCCTCACTCTCCAAAGAAGCTGGAAACCTGCATTTTTATGTAAAGCCTAATATTTAGATATTGGCTTTTTTTTCTTTTAATTTGGTTCTAAAATGCATGTCTGTTTCTGAAGCCAGCTAGCTGACCCCCAGTTGGCAACCTCTGACTGATTCAGAAATTCTTGTGTTTATATTTCTGTGTGTGATCTCAATTTTTTGTGCGGGTACTGGGGTTCTGAACTCAGTTACTCATGTTTTAGTAGCAGGCACTTTATGGACCAAGTCATCTCTCCAGTCCTTTATAGTTTCAGAAATACCCTAACAGATCTCCTGTGGTTGGAGAAGCCCCAGGACAGTGTGATTAGGAGAAGTGGGGCTGAGGGGTGCCATCACCTCTTCCTGCTGCTACACCCTGGATGGGACTTGCAGGACAGCAGTTATGTCACATTATTTGTTTAGGAATCTGTCTACTACCAGACTGGAAACTTCTCATAGGGAGGACCACACCTTATTCCTCTTAGTTTCCTCAGCACTTGGCACATGAAAAGCACAAAATAAATATATTTGAATGAATGGACAAATAAATGTCAAACTAATGTGCTATCTAATGTCAGTACTCCAAAACCATTCCTTCTCCAACACAGATCTCAGTGAAAAGATTATTTTCAATTGCTCTACATTTTAAAACTAAGTTTCTTTATACCTCAATAAAAGGAGACGGCTATGTAGACTAGTGGTTGAATGAATTTGCTTTCTAAATTCTCATTGCTGTGTTAATGTCAAGAAACAAGTATTCCAAAGAGCTGGTGTGAGATAAAAAAGAAATTTTAAGGGAGAAGGAATGAGAACTGTGGGTGGGAATGGAGTCCTCTCCTGTGTCTGTGTGATGACAAGCGATCACTGGAGTCACCTGCACACAGGTAGTCATCGTGTTGTAGTTGGAGGTGTCATCCCTGATGTTCTTGAGGAAATTGTTTCTATTCTCCTCAACATCCCCCATACATGAAATGCAAAATGGAGATGTAGAAGGGCGATGGAATTGGGCAGTAAACACCAAAAAGAAGATTTATTCCATGTTGTTTATGCGTAAATGGATTTTTTTTTTTTTTTTTTTTTTTTTTTTTTTTTTATGTTTGAGGTAGAGTATCCCTGTAGCCCCAACTGGCCTGGAACTTGCTAAGTAGACCAGCCTGGCCTTGAGCTTAATTCCAGCCTCTGCCTCCTGAGTGCTGGAATTAAAGGCATGCACCACCACGCCCAGCCTATGGAAATGTTTTATTCCAGCTTAAAAGGAAGACTACAAGCCAGTGAGATGACTCAGTGAGCAAAGGTGCTTGCCACCCAAGCCTGACAACCTGAGTTGAATCCCTGAAATACACATAAAAATGGAAGGAGAAAACCAAACCAACAGTGCTGTGCTCTGACCTCCCTAAGCATGCCATGGCATGCATGCCTTCACACATACATCATGTGCGTACACATACAATAATAATAAACAAAATTTATTTTACAAGAGGGTTGATTTTAGAGCATGTCTCATTTGTCAGCTAGGCAGTATTTCCATGCTTTTTTCAACATATACATGATTTTATATGCTTTGGTGTCTCAACTTCCTTGGATATAATCTTTGAAATACAAATGTACTATCTACCTGTGTACATCAGTTAATAGTCTAGGCTATAAAAACCTATTTCTCAGTAACTTAAAAAACAACTCAGTGGGTACTTACAGCTTAATTACCCCTTAACAAGTAGGAGACATAAATAATAAATCTTCCACCATATTGGAGTTTGGCAATGCAAACTTCATTCAACCACTGTGGAAGGGGATGATGCAAACGAATACTTGAAATAGGAAGAGCTTGGGAAATTCATAATGTCAGAGTAAGCAGGAGAGGTTGCAGAGGACAGAAGTTTGAGGGGCTGGGTCTAGATATAAGGTGTAGTGGCTTACCAGAATAGAGGATGGTGTTGCCTGAAAACTTGAACTTTGGGTATTCCAAATGGGGTCTTCTGTTTGGGGAAGCAAAACTCCTCTCACTGAGGAAAGAACAATGTTAAAGAACATTTTCAATTGAGATACTATCTGAGATACAGGAACAACTAAAACCAGTTTCATCTTCCATATAGGTTAGATTTTGGCAGAACAGAGAAGGCTGTTTTGCTTAGAAAATGTCTGTGAAACTGATGTTTAGATATTTTGTGCATATTAGCAGTCTGGCTTATAAGAAATCATGAAACAAATATTTTTCCCATTATGACACAGTGCCATGATATGTTACTTCTTTTTTTTTCCTCGTCAGTTTCCACCCTTTGATAGATTCTTATGACGTCATAATTTTCCATTCCCTCTTTCCTTCTTCTATTTTCTTATTTATTTATTATTTACTTGATAGGATTTTGACAAACTAGCCCAGGCTAGCCTCAGACTTGTAATCCTCTTACTTCAGCCTTCTGAGAACAGGATTGCAGGCATGCACCACCACTTCCACTATTTTTTAAGTTTAAAAAAAAAGTTGGGATTGCCTATAGTTTCAGCAGCAAGGAGGACTGCTTCTGGGCCTGGCCCTGCCCTCACCTCCCTCTTCCCTGGGCCTGCAGGACTCGCAGGCCTCTCTCCAACCCGCAGGCCTCTCTCCGGGGTAAGTGCATCGCGCCCTCCACACCTTGACTCCCCCAGCCTCATTCACCCTCCCATCTCCCCGACTGGTCCTCTCCTCCTAGACTGGGTCCTGTCCCATTCCTTGTCTTCGGGCCCCAGACACCTGGGGAACCAATACTGCTTCCTGATCCTTTTCATCCAGACCAACTCAGTGCCTTCTCTAGTCCCCAGGAGCTCTCTGGGTCTGGACCTGCCCTCGCCTCCCTCTGCTTCCCTGGGCCTGCACCACCCACCAGCCTCTTTCGGGACTCAGGGGCTGACCTTTCCTCTTCCTGATCCTTTGCATCCAGACCAACCCAGCTCCTCAGTGCAGTCCCCAGGAGTTCTTGGGGCCATTTCCCGCCCCCATCTGCCTTTGCATCTCTGTGTGGCACAACCACCATATGCCCTAGGCCAGCATCTTAACTGGGCCCGGCTCCCAGGCCAGTCCAACCCCCAGATTCCTGAGGCCAAAATCTTTCCTGGAGGGATCCAGACCTTAGGAGAAAGCCTGAGAGCATCTGATCCTCATCTGAATTGGGCCTCTGTGGGAACTCCTGAAGACAAAAGCAATCTGGCCACTCATACATAAAATCAAAAGAGAGAAATGGAAGCTTAGAGGAACCAGCTTTTCATGTCCAAAAAGTAAACCACAAAGACACATAAAGTTCACAAAAAGAAGCAGACCTAAATTTGAAGGCTTGAGTCTCACACAAGAATCAGAAATTACAAAAGAAATCCATATGTCAAAATCATAGAGAAAAAATAATAATATGAAAAACAAAAATAACATATCCCCACCAAATACCAATAGTCCCCTGAAGGAGTACAATGAGAACTCCCTAAAGATAATGCAGGACATGGAACTCAAAAGAACAATTATAAACATGATAAAAGAATTCAGTGAATTTAAAGAACACACAAAGAAATCAAAGAACTGAAGGAAGATAGGGATACACTTCTGAATGAATTCAGAAGTTTTAGAAATATTGAAGACTACTCAGGCTGAAATGAAGGAAGTGAAACACTCAGTAATCCAATTAGAAATGACAGGAGATAGCCTCACCAATAGGATGAAAGAAATTAAAAACAGAGTATCAAGACTGGAAGATAAAGTGGATGAACTAGACCACTCAAGCAAAGATTATGAAAAATTTAAGAAATCACAAGAATGGAACATGCAGGAATTGTGTGACACCATAAAAAGACCAAACTTATGAATCATAGGCATACAGGAAGGAGAAGAATCCAAAGCTTCTGTACATCAAAGGAGGCAACTAAGGAAGCAAACAGAAAATCCACAGAATGGGAGACAATCTTCACCAGCGACACATCCGACAGAGGTTTAATAACCAGAATATATAACAAACTCAAAAAACAGAGAACCAAGACAAGAAGCATCCCAATTAAAAGATGGGCTAAGGAGCTGAACAGAGAATTCTCAAAAGAAGAAGTAAAGTTGGCTATGAAACATCTTAAAAGATGTTCAACATCACTAATAATTAGGGAAATGCAAATTAAAACCACTTTAAGATTTCATCTTACCCCAGTCAGACTGGCTAAGATCAAGAGAACAAAT